AGAGGTCTTGTCAGCAGTAGGGTAAGGGAAGGTAAGATGTGTAGGATTGGGGGCGGAGAGACCAGTTAATAATGGAGTATTGCGTGTGCCCAGGTGAAAGCTGGGGATGACCTGAACAGGGCACGGAAATGGAGAGGATGGTACACGGGGATCAGTTAGATGCAGGAGGTCTAGGAGCACAGGGAGACTCACATTTTTGACTTGAGACAGAATGAATGACTATGCCATGAACCAAAATAAAAGAACCAAGGGGAAAAGTCAGCTTGAGAATGGGTAGGAGAGAGGTAGCAGTTTTATTGACATTGCAGTAGCATGAGGAGTAAGTAGAAGGGGCACAAGTGGAAACAGCAAGTGTAAAAGTATGAAAACAAAACAAGAAGGGATGGAGTGCAGGACTGGGAGGAGAGTGTAGAGATGGGAGAGATGGATAGGTGAAGGGAAGAAGCTAATCTAGAAGGCGGATTGGACGCACAGGAGCAGGGACAGCTAGTGGAACAAGATCCCAGAGGAGACTGTAGGAGACAGAACTGAGGCCAGCATAGCTGACCTCCTCAGAGTCTGGGAAAAAGAAACAGTGGTATAATTTCCAAGTAGGGTTATAGGTGGGACAGGAGAAAGTGTGGGCTTCATTTCTCATTGCCTCATGATCTCTGTGAAGGTAAAAGTCAAGGTCATGCTTAGAGTGAGAGTGCTTTATAGAGATTTGTCCATATGCATCATCAAAGCATTTCTTACAAGTGTCCAATTCTGACCATCAAGAGCACTCTCCCTGGCCTCTTCCTGCAACCCTCTCCCCTAATTTATTCATGACTTTTGCATTATAATCTAGCGTCCCAGCTGTTGGTCCCACTGCTGGGGGTGGGGGGGGAGTAGAAAAGATAAAAAGGAGGAGGAGTTGGGCTTTGAGTGTTTTAGAGAAGTGAGGAAGGAAAATGGCAGAGTATCTATCAAAGAGAAAGAATGAGCATTCCTTGATTGGGGTCCCAACTGGAGACCAGGAATTTGTAGTGCTCCAAACTGCCCTGTTTTTCAGCTTCCTCCAGAAGTGCATGTGCATCTGGAATGACGAGATTGTAGGGTCAGCGTGGGTTGCGCTGAATCACCGTAGAACTGCTGTGATGGAGGAAGTGTTCTATATTAGTACTATCCAATATGGTAGCCCCTCGCCACTTGTGGCTATTGAGTACTTAAATGTGGCCCCTCTGGTTGAAGACCTGAATTTTTAATTTAATTTAAATTCAGGTAGCTGCATGTGGCTAATGGCTACCATATTGGACAGCACGGATCTAGAGTTGGGAATTTGTAGAGTTCATGTGGAGAAGACCTCAATGGGGAGTGGGGGAGTTTAACAACTTTCCTGTTTGCACCTTAAGCTCAATTCCCAGTAGAGACATATGTTAGACTGTGAGGGGGTTAGCAGACAGGAGAAAATGGAGGCAAGAAATTGAAAAAAATCATTGTTCAAATTTACTTTTAAGGCGAGAGCGTCAGTATTCCATATGTAGTAGTGAAGATTCTCCTGGCTCTTGTGAAGTCCTGTATTTCTCTATGGGTAGTCCTGATCAGCTCATGGTGCACAAAGGAAAATGTATCGGTGAGTACACTAGCTAAATTCACTTAAATTTTCTAATGACTAAAGTTCAATTGTGAAGGAACAAGGTGGAATAGACACCATGTCATCTAGACCGCGCATTCCAAGGAAGGCCAGTAGGCCGATAGTTGGTCATTCTAGCTCCCATTCCTAGTGACCAGAATGAGAAGTCACTCAGGCTTCCCCTTCTGTAAGATGTAAATTAAAACCTAGGCTCTTGGAAATATTGTTAGCAGGAAGATAGATAAATTTAAAGTTTGTCATTGTCATAATTAGTTGACCTTTCTGAAATTAAAAATGGTTGAAATATTATGAATTCGTAGAATTTTGCATCATGTGCATTTATTGCTGATGAAATATATGTAACAAAATGAGGTCTCATGCCTGTGATCTTTTTTAAAAAATTTTTTTCAATTAGACTTGATGTGCAATATTATATTAGTTTCACAAATGCCTGTGATCTTTGATGACCAAGTCCTATTTTCTTAAGTTGATATCCATCTGCTTAGCACTATCTCACTAGGCATGTTGTACCTGACTAGGAAAATCACTTTATTTTCTAGTGTCTTATTTAGCAATTTTGCCTACTGGTAACTGTTTGGGGTGAAGCCAGTTCAGCAATTTGAGATTTGAACTGTTTATATTAAAATCAAGTTTTCAGTATCTACTCCTTTGCCCTAAACATATGTCATCTTTTACGAGCCATACAGATATAGCCACTAAGTAGTGTAAGGACTGCTTGCATATACATAGTTAATTTGACAATTAATTTTAATTTTTACATTTTTTTCAAATTATAAGAACAAGTCTATTTAGAAAGTTACAGAGGTAGTAGAAGTGAGATAGCTCGGCTGCGTAGGCTCAGGAAACAAGTTACAGCTCCCAGGGCCCCTGGAGCTTACGAGAGAGAAAGGCAGAGATAACACGCCTGAGGGACGAAGAGGGAGAAGGGAAAGGCACAGGCAGTCTTCCTGAGAGGGGGAGCATGTCTAAGTTCAATTTTTAATTCCATGAATATTCTTATCAGAACTAACAGACAGCCGAATTATCTAAATCAAGTTTGCCTTTTTTTCAGTGTCTTTTTCTAGCCCCCTCTAAGGAGAGACAAATGAGCAGAGGAGCTGCCACAAAGCAGGCAGCAGGTGGAGGGAGAAGAAACCAAATATCTGAATAGTCGATGAAGTGGGCACTTAACCTTGCCTGCGTGAAAGCGGCCTGAACTGTACAGGATTCTGTGCATACAGAGCCTGCCCTGGGCAGACAAAGCAACCATTTGGGCAGGTTCAAAACCTTGGCAGAGATGATTAGCTTTAGTCTTGAGACTGTCCTTGACTTAGGGCAACATAAAACTCACTACTTTTAATAATCTGAGGAGATCTGGAAGGGATATTAACCTAACTACTTACTACCGTAACTTGGTTTCCGTTCTCATTGATACTCGTTAGACAGATTCACCTTAGTTAATATCCTCATCAGCAGACACATTTGCAATCTGAAAATATTTTATAAAACAACTACATAAATTAAAAGAGGGGAGCCAGAAAACCCTGGAATTACCTTCTAGAGGGCGGGCCCCTTGTAGTACAGACTTTCCCCCTTAGGTGAATGTTCTGGGAACGCATCTGTATCAGTGTACCAGCTGGCATTGTTGTGAGGGGTTGCATTTGGCTTCAGTGAATTTTTTAAGACTCTTTCAACACGTTTGCCCATTTTATGATGGGTGATTTAAGAGCACACCTACCCACACCATGCTGAGTGTTGAGTTTTTGACCGAAAAAATGGCATCATTCCCATACCCCACCCTTCCTATTCACCATTCACCTGATCTTGCCTGGAACAACTTTTTTCTTTTCCTGATGAAAAAAGTCCATAAAGGGAAACATTTTGTCTAATGTGGAAGAGGTGAAATAAAAAAACTGCAGAAGCACTAAAAGGCATCAAAATCTACAAGTTCAAAAACTATTTTGAGCAGTGGAAGAAATGTTACAATAGGTGTACTGTATCACTTGGAGAGTACTTTGAAGGTAACTGAAATTTAAACATGTAAGAATAAATATACAATTTTTTATAAATAAATTCCAGGGTTTTTTGGGTCCCCCTTGCATGTATGTTATTTTCTCACAACAGGGCTAGTTTTTAAAACATGTCCTAATTTTCTGTGAAATGTTTTTATATAAGATCAACTAACTAACATTTGTTTTTCAATTTAAAGCAGAGCTTTCTTATGGATAAAGCATGCTCAAGACTGCCTGTGTAAATGATGGTCATTGTTAGCATATAATCAAATCAGAGTTCTTTTGGTAACATATTTTCCTTCAGCCTCACTATGGTGTGCTCTTTTGTCTCTTTTATTATCCCCATCATGCAAAAGAGACAGTGAGAGGATGGCAATAATAAAATTATAATACAAAAATAAAACAAAAAACCCCGGCAATGATGAAATACCTACCTAGCCCAAATTGGGGAGAGAAATATTCCAAGACATTGTACTGCATAATGTGCATATGTAGTTAGGCTTTATGTAAATAACATCACACCGTCTCATAAACATCTGATACCTGTGTCTCCAGTGTGTGCTGCTTACATTCCACATCACACAGGTTGCTTCCTTTGGTTGACAAATTTTCAGACATCAGGGCTTTTTCACCTTAGCCAAGAACGTCAGGAGTGTTTATGACTAGCATAACAGATCATTTCCATTATATTTTCTTAAACTGTCAGCATGTCTATAAAGTAAAAACTGTTTCTCAGATAAAAAGTCTAGGTGAGCTAGTTCAGCCTCATTTCGCCAAAGTATTTTTGCTAAAGCCGCTATGTCCTACATATATAGGTTATTTCACTTTTCATTTTTTTCATGGAAAAGAACTATTACTGTTTGAAAAATCTTTTTTTATATAGTTTAATGTATTTTAATAGCAAACTTACAGAAACAGCACAGAAGACAGACAACATTAAAAACATACTTGCATGTAGGACAACTCAGTTAGAAAAGTATAGTGAATGGATGGAATCTACTGTATGATAAAAATGCTACGAACACCATTTAGTTGCCATCAATAAGAAATTTACTTGTTTTAAAAAAATCCAAATGCTGGCATTGTCCAGAAAAATTTAACAGGTTTATTTATATTATTATAAAGTTGAACTGCTTGAAACTTGTTTACTGAAACATCTCGACTTGCATTAATGCTTTATGTCCCCGCATTTATATTAAAAAAATTCACACACAAATGAAAATGGAAAAACTGCCAATACCTGATTTCTGTCCCCTATTTTCCACTTGCAATCATATACTTAGGTACCTTTTGACCCCATGGGAAAAAAATATCTAACGTTCAGAACTACCAATAACAGGAAGAAGAGAATTTTTTTTTTTTTAAAGAATGAAATGTTTCCCATCACAGTGGATTCTTAAGCACGTTCTCCACGTATACGGCGTGCTAGCTGGATGTCTTTTGGCATAATTGTTACATGTTTGGCATGGACAGCACACAGGTTGGTGTTTTCAAAAAGGCCAACCAGATAGGCTTCACTTGCCTCCTGCAAAGCACCAACAGCTGCACTCTGGAGGCGCAGGTCTGTTTTGAAGTCCTGAGCAATTTCTCGCACCAGACGCTGGAAGGGAAGTTTGCGAATCAGAAGTTCAGTGGACTTCTGATAACATCTGATTTCACGAAGTGCCACAGTACCAGGCCTGTAACGATGAGGTTTCTTCACCCCTCCAGTAGAGGGCGCACTCTTGCGAGCGGCTTTGGTAGCCAGTTGCTTCCTCGGTGCTTTACCACCGGTCGATTTGCAGGCAGTCTGCTTTGTACGAGCCATGGTACAGAGACCTCTTTACTTACCCCGCTTCTCTTTCGGCTGGAGCTCGGCGAGCTGGAGGAGGCTGGAGTTAGAGAGCGACAGCGGCTGCGAACACCTGAAAAATCTTTTCATTGTGAAGACACTGCAGCATCGTGGGAAACTATTATTTATATAACAAGAGAAAAAGACAGAATACAGTGTATCAGTGGTTCTCAGTTGGGATTGACCTTGTCCCCTTGGGAACATTTGGTGATGTCAGAAGACATTTTTGATGTTTCAGACTAGGGTGGGGGTGCTATTGGCATCTCATGGGTAGAGGTCAGAGATGCTGCTAATAAATACCTTGCAGTGCACAAGACAGCCTCCTTCAATAAAGGATTATCTGGTACAAAATGCCAGTTGTGTCAAGGACAAGAAATCGGGTTATATATGCTATGATTTGATAAAGTAGGAAGCAAAAAAGAGTAGAGGGAACTAGAAATAAGACGAACTGATGATATCGTGGGTGATGTTTTTCATTTCTAATTTTTTGGTAATTTTCTATTATAGTGTTTAATTAAAATACAGGTTTTTATGTGCAGCACAGAGAATATAGCCAGTAACCTCATAGTAACTTGGCACAGTGGCAGATGGTTTCTAGACTTGTCATGGTGATCACATCACAGGTATACAAATACCAAAATCACTATGCTATACACCCAAAACTATCATATGACAACTATAGTTTAATTTTTTTAAAAAAACCTTTTTAAGAAAATACAGATTTTTATAAGAAAATTTTTGGTGTTACAGAAATTTAGCTCTCCAGGTATTATACAATTGGAAACCATATGCCTACCACTAAATAAATGTATCTATTTCTAAATTTAAATTTAAACTGTCATTTCTGGTTCCTTCCCTTGAAACTGTTAGCCGGTTTTATATTTACTGAATATATTCAGATTTTGTGTTTACAAAATCCCTGATGTTTTCAAACTTCCAGATTACTAAAATGTGTTTATACTGTGCAGTCTAATGTACATTGATGGAGTAATCTGGGTGGAACGTTCCTATTTCCAGATTCCTTCTGTCACATTAGTTGATATTTAGCTTTGTGGGGGTACTCTAGCGCACCAAAAGGCAGCCATCAGAGGTGAACTGGCTATGAGTGTAACACTGTGAATCCTTGCTACTTGTAGAAAACATTTGTCAGATACTAAGATCTCACTGTTGATTATTGTCCCTTTATAGTAATAAATATTTTGTGGCTCAAAGTATATTGCTAAATATTAAAACTTAGTTACAAAAGAGCATGTGTTATATGGAGTCATATTTTTCATAAGTAGCACATGGCATCCACTGGTGAATGAGTGTGTTTGTGTGTACATATCCCCCTCCCCTTTTTTTAATCCCCACAGAAAATGTACCAGTGAGAATTAATTACATTTTCTTTTAATATGCAGCCTGTGATGAACAGCTTGGAAAACTAGTTTATAATGCCTTGGAAACAGCCACTGGCAGCTTTGTCTTGTTGTATGAGTGGGTCCTTCAGTGGCAGAAAAAAATTGGTCCTTTCCTTACCAGTCAAGAAAAAGAGAAGATTGATAAGTGCAAAAAGCAGGTAGGCATCCGAGAGGATCACAGAGTCCTCCCAAGCTTTAGGAGATGACAAAAAAAAAAAATAGCTTTGCATTTGCTCTGCTAGTAAAGATGATCAGAATGGTGTGAGGCCTGTTTAACCACAAGGACGGCGAGGGACCAGCACCTTGTGTACCAGTTTCCTCAGCTTCTTGCTGCCTCTTTCAGAACTTGCACAATGTGTTCCAAACTTTCGCAACTGCTTTCTTAACCTCCTTTCTCAGCCTCTACTGTGGCATTAATGGCCATCTCTCCAACTGGGAGTAAATAGTACTTCATAATTATGGCTTTTGCAGTCTTGAAATATTGCTTCAAAACTGAATTCTAGGGGACTGGAGAATTTTAGAGTTAATTTATAATACTGAATTTAAGGAGAATATTTAATATTACATATAGCAGTGTTTCCTAATAAAAAGGTTACAAAACAATAGGTAAAGCCTTGTGTTTAGAAGGTATGTATATTTCTGACAGAAGAGAAAATGGAAGTAAAGACACCGAAATCATAAAACTTGTCTTTGGGTGGTGACCACGTACATAATTTGTTGTTTTTTTCTTTTGTGGTGTTTTTTCTTTTGCATTAGTACTTATCAAAATTTTGATAATGAATCTTTATAATCAGAAGGGGTTATTTTAAAAGTAATATTTCTTTTTTTTTCTGGTGGCCTTAATGCCAAAGAAATTTTAAAAGCTTTTCACTAATTTTATGGTATTTGTAACTTTTAAAACTTTTATTTATTGATTTGAAAGAGGAAAAAAAACACCAATTTGTTATTCCACTTATTCATGTACTCATTGGTTGATTCCTGTGTGTGCCCTGATTGGGGATGGAACTTGCAACCTTGGCATATCAGGATGACGCTCTAACCAACTGAGCTACCCAGCCAGAGCTAATTTTATAGTATTTGAACACTCAGTTTTAAGATCAAAGAAGTTGAGAATTAACTAAATTTTTTCCGTCTTTATGAACCATTAGGTTGACCATATGGTTTAAGGGAGAAGTCAGTTTAGGGCATATTCCTCCTCTTATCCTTTAAAAGTACATTTTCTATTAAATATTTCACTTTTGAAATGAAACACTAGTTCATGCTGATTAATCCAATATTACTGTTTTTTTCCCTTATCAGATTCAAGGTGCAGAAACAGAATTCAGCTCACTGGTAAAATTGAGCCATTCCAACATAGTACGCTACTTTGCAATGAATCTCAAAGAGCAAGACGACTCCATCGTGGTGCACATTTTGGTGGAGCACTTTAACGGGGTCTCCCTTGCTGCACACATGAGCCACTCGGGCCCCATCCCTGTGCATCAGCTTCGCAGATATGCAGCTCAGCTCTTGTCGGGCCTTGATTATTTGCACAGCAATTCTGTGGTGCACAAGGTTCTGAGTATGTCGAATGTCTTGGTGGACACAGAGGGCACCGTCAAGATTACGGACTACAGCATTTCTAAGCGCCTAGCAGACATCTGCAAGGAGGATGTGTTTGAGCAAACCCGAGTTCGTTTTAGTGACAGTGCCCTGCCTTATAAAACAGGGAAGAAAGGGGATGTTTGGCATCTTGGCCTCTTGTTGCTCTCCCTCAGCCAAGGACAAGAGTGTGGAGAGTACCCTGTGACCATCCCTAGTGACTTACCTGCTGACTTTCAAGATTTTCTAAAGAAGTGAGTATCATTGAGATTCTCTTAATTGCACTTTACTTTTGTACTTTTATTGTGATTTAATTCTGAACATCTTGATATGTATAAGCTGAAAAGTGAGCAACAGAATTAAAGTTAATTCTTTGTTCTCCCAATCCTTTCCCAGCCACGTATGTCCTGTTTTCTTGCTTATGATTATTGTCCCCTTAACTCCCACCTTCTCCTAAATTCACTTGGACTTAATAATAGGTTTTCAGTGTGATGAAGATGGCCACGTGGGAAATGCGCCAGGTATTCCAAATGGAAGAGCCGCTCTGTCTACCTTTGCGGATTCCTAACGGGTCAAAGGCAAGGCCCCCTATTTAGAAAACAGCTGTAGGAGAGTAATTCTGCCCCTTGTTCTTCTTAATCATTCTTCTTCATTAGCAATATCTCGTTCAGTCAAACCCTAGAATACAAATAACTTTCTTGCTCTAGCCAGAGGATTTTCAACATCTGTGAATTCCAGGTGCACATTTAACTACAGAGCCAAGTTTGATCCACTTTGAGAGAATCCTGACTGAGAGGTTTTCCTCTGACCTACAGTCTTTGTGCAGATCCTTCCATTCAGTATTATCGAGATTAGCCCCGCCTCCCTTCTTAGTCCAGGCCAGACCTAGGTTCTCAGTTTCTCAATTAAATGGGAAATAAGATCCCTTAAGCTGGGTTTTCTAGATACGCTTCTAGTTCAACTTTCCAGCAAGTTGGACTAGTTTCCTTCCTTTCCAACAATCTGTCTTATTTCTCTCCTTATTTCTTTTTCTCAACCATTCATTTTTATTCATTTACTCCCTATACTTCTTTTCTTTTATTCTTCACATTTCTTTTCCTGTTTCCATCTATCCCAACTGCCATTTGACCTAATCTATGTTATTTCCTGTCACTCATTGTCTTACCCATGACAAAGTGAAAATAGCTGCACTTATCTTTAAATAAGATAGTTTCTGTGTAGCATAAAGTAGAAGTAGTCATAATATACATACAGTTGTGGAAAGGGGCCAGCTTTGATTCTTATGCTATGTTTTCTCCTTAAAGTATATAAACATCTTAAGATTGCTAAAGAAATCTTTTATGATTTCTATTAAATGCATTAAAACTTTAAAAGTATTTATTCAAATGCACCCTGATGGTATGGTTGGCCAAAATTAATCAAAAGAATATGGTAATAGAATCACTGATGGAAAGACTCATTTCATTCTTCAAATGACACCTTTAGCTTTCTGTCTTTCTTCACTGGTCAAGAATAATTCAGTGAAGGTTAGCAATAGCATCATGTATTTCTAACAGCAACACTGGGAAGTTTAAGTAAAACAAATGTTTCACATTAAATAGCAAAAGGACAGACTCGGTAGCTAACTTTCCTAGTTCTTTTCTTAGAAAATAGCTCTATGCGCTGTCAGTTTTAACCTTGAGCTCTTCACTATTTCTTACTTTGTTAACATGATTGCCTTTAGAATGTTTTGTATATTCCTTCGTCTTCCTAGAGTGGTTTGATAGACTGTGCTCAGTTAAGAAGGACAACAGTATTTTTTTTTTTTACCACATTTGTTCTCCAGCCCCCTGTTAACAAAAGAAAAAAGTCATTTGCGAACACCTCAAGAATAGCAACATTGCATTGGTAGTTATTTTTTTGCTTATTGGTGAATATCTTGGGAGAAAAGTTTTGTTTGAAATCAGTCTCTGTGGCAGGAAAGAGCCCAGACTGTGGAACCAGGTGGCTAGGTTCACATCTCACCTTTACCCCTTATGGT